TTTTTTCTATTCATGAATCTAGATCAATTTTTTTAGGGAAAATTGCAATCGAGGTACCAAACCTTTAAAAAATGCGCAGGATCAGTCCAAAATAACGATTTCCATCTGTTTGACCACAAAAATCGTCAGTTGACCCCAAAAATTAAAAATATAATTATTTCCCCAAAGTAAGGTAAGGGTAAAATTATAACTTTATAATTTTAATATAAAAAGGAAAAAAACACCATCTCCTTCAATCTTTCCCCAATCCATTCACTCCCAAAATCAAAACCACCATTGCTGCTGCTGCTGGCATCGCTACTTTCTTTCTTCCGTTGAGAGGAAAATAGGCCAAAAACACCATGGCCAAAAACACCATATTTGGATGAGCCTCGAAGTGAACAAATCGGAACATTCAAAACTGGAGTAACACGAACATTAGTTAAATAAGACCTCTCCATTCCTCGATGTTTATATCTGGGGCCACCGTTGAAACTGCTGGAACTACTGGAACTTCTCTCCAAGTTATTAAACACGACTTTACCAGAGGAATTCATGCGAGGACTATCTGCAGAAACTCCACACGCTTGTGCAGTAGACTCCGGTGCTCTTTGCATTGGGCTACGCACCACTCGAGTCGTCGTTGACGTATTTGGATTCTCTGGAAATAATGCCCTAAGTTTAACAACTCGGACTTGGGAAATAGTGCTGGTATTGCGGTGAGAGCTACGAGTAAGAATACTCGGCTCGTCGGAATCAAGAGAGGGTCTTGGGAGATCACCGTGCTCATGTCCTGAAGAAGAAGACGAAAGTGAAAGCCGGGAGGAAATTGAGACTGACTCATCGAGGTAGTGGTGCCGAAAATGGTTTCGACGATTGGGTGGACTGTGGAAGATGTTTTGGTTTTGGGTAAGGGGGTTGGAGAAGAAGGAGATGGGGTGGGTGGTTTTTGGTTTTGGTTTTTGCTTTTCTAATTTTTAATTTAATAGGGGAAATAAATTATGTCAAGAATGCCCTTGCCTTATTTTGGAGAAATAATTAGATTTTTAATTTTTGGGGTCAACTGACGGTTTTTGTGATCAAACAGACAGAAACCGTCATTTTGGACTGACCCTGCGCATTTTTTTAAAGGTTTGATACTTTCGGTGGTACAAACTAAAGGTTTGGACAAAGTCTGCTAATAAACGAAAAGTTTGATACCTCGACTGCAATAAACGAAAAGTTTGGCACGAGGACTTGAAGATGCAACCAGGGAATAAAGTTTTTAGCCAATTTATTCATTCAACTGTGTGTTGATTAAAAAAAAATATTATAAATTATATCATTAGGGATTCATCTTTTTTCTATTCATGAATCTAGATCAATTTTTTTATTCTTCCTGTAGTAGCGTAACCACGGTTAGGTTTGAGTGCTTTTTTGAGCTCTTTTCAAATCAAACCATTATTAACGATTTTGAAAATTATCAAACCGAATCAAATTATTTTATTTTTTAAACCAAATCATTTTTTACTGTTTAATTTAGCTTCAACCCACGTTTTTAGTGATATAAAGTATTATCTTTTAAACAATTATAAACATTTCAATATATTGGTATGGTATAAAATTTCAATGTAACACTTAAATTGAAATCTCTGAAACAGCCATTAAAATACTAATACATTTGTTTTAATAAAGAAATTAATACAAAGTTCAACTATAAAATTTAAGTTTAAAAATTCTTTATTCCTAAAATTGACGAGAAAAATACTAGAATGAATCATTGTTTCCCCAAAAAAATGGAAGTCCAAATAATTTTTTGAAGTATAAGTTGAACTAGTAAACATTATATTTTGAATAAAATAAGCAATGTTTTTGTTTCAAATTTTTTTTCAAAAAATATGTTAACAGTTTGATTCGGTTTCAAGAGATTTTTTAACTATTGAAACTTAAACAAAACCTTTTCAAAAAGTTTAGGTTCCACATGAAACCCCAAAATCTCGATTTTGATTCAATTTGATAAGTTGAGAGTTTTTTAGTTACCCATAAAATCTTCATCTAAAAAAATATCGAGTCAATTCCTTGATTCGCCCAGTATGATCCTCCATCGAGAAAATATCAAGAAGAACAAAGAAACAAGGCTATAAAAGTAAATAACATTGTGAAATCTTACTTCGGTCACATAATAATTGTAGGGTAAATATATTAACACCACAATTTTGTTTTAAGTACGCTATGTTTTTATTACTATGCATATTCCTAAATTTTCTTATTTTTTCACTTATATTCTCAACTTTTTTTTTTTTTAATTTTATCATCATCCTTCTATTAATTTTCACGTCTTGTTTATAGGATGAGAGCCAAAAAGACATATTTCTTTCGTATTTTTAAATAATCAAAATAAATAACTAATATAAAAGTTAAACAAAATATTTCTCCATCTTTTCAATGCACGTTAGTAGAATATTTGGATGAAAATCGTGATTAAAGACAAAATATATTAATTAATTGAAGGTTAAGAATGACAATCTTATGCGAAAAAAGTTCAGGACAAAAAAGTAAAAGTAAGCAAATATTAAAAGCCTTCATCGTAAAAAAAAAAATGTGGTGCAGTTATAAAAAAATGTTGTAGGGATATAATTACCCATAATTGTATCACACTCTAAACCCTCAAGTAGATTATTCCAACATATTAAAACTAGTGTGACATTAAAGGACCCCAAAGAGAAAGCACCTTTTATAGAAGTAAAAAAGGAGAGACTAACTTGTCCTATTCGACGTAGGACAATAAGAATCTCATTATTAATGAATTAAGAAAATTAAATCCTATCTTATGTGAAATAATAAAAATCCAATTCTTATTCAGTATAGCTGTATAGGACAATACCAAGTCCAATAGTAACAATTACCTAAGTACATAGTCAAACAAAAGAAATAATTGGGCAATAAAAAGTGGAGCACAATTGACAAATCTTAACAGCAAAGGTAGAAACTTAACCAAGGTAATTGCCAACATTTTACTGAAATTTCAGGACCGTCAAAGAAAAATTTATCAACTGTTAAATCTTCCATAGTTCAAAATAGAAAATCCTAATTTCTTTTATTTACATAAAGCTTCTATACCTCTCCTTTTAAGGTAAACTACTACTTTTCCTTGGGCCTTTACTTGGGATGAGACACCACCAATACCTAACCCATCTATTTATTAATATCCTGTATCTTCTAAGTACTTAACATCAATTTCATGTGATTGGACAAATTCATGATTTTATAATATTTCTCAGCTTTTAATTTTTTGGTAGGATTTTGTGATGGAAACAATTTGCCTGCCGAATGAATGGTTAATAAGATAACTATTGACACAATCTATCAACCCTAAAAATGAATTCTCATATGTGGCATATATATGAAAGGAATGCCTGAAAGATTCGCTGATTTGTCATATAAACAACATACTTTCATGTTTTAAAGAAGATACAATTTTTAAGTTGAATGTCTATTTGCTGTAATTATGCAAAATTGTAGCTTTGTACACGAATGATTTAAATGAACTAAGATTCAGCTCTATCTTTGCAAATTGTCAATAATTTACAGCATGTTTAGATAGACAAAAGCCAGCCTTTTCTTAATTTTTTGGGAAAAAAAATTGTGAACTTCATTAATTCATATCATTCCGCAACATTAGTAAAAGGATCTCACCCCAAACACGTAGCAAACACAGCGAAAATGAAAAATGAGAAACAAGCTATAAGGAGAAATACAAATTAAACATGATTTGGCCACGACAACTAGAGAAGAAGAATCAATTGATTCAATAACATCACAATACAGTGTGTTCTTCTCTCTAAACATCCTCGTACATATACCTAGAGCGGCTCCATTTACGCCACACGTGGCACGTACTTTTTTTCTAGTTTCTTTTGACTCAATTTTCTCTCTATCTCTCTCTATACTCCGATAGTCTTTGTACTCGTCCTCATGTGCAACCCTCATTTTATAGAAAATTATAACATTCAATGCACACTCGCGCTCTCCCGCGAGCACTCTTTTGACTTGTTGATGCCGAATGCTATGAGACAATTATAGGAGAAGAGGAAGGGGGGAGAAGAGAGAAAAGAGAAAAGAGGGAGAAAAGAGATAAGAAGACGGAAAGAAATTCAATTTATTTCATAATCAAAGATTGTTTTATTACAACACAAAAAACCCCTTTATATAGGGTTTAAACTAGTGTTTATTTAAGAAGGAAATTATTATAAAATCAACGAAATCAAAACACTTATTATGTTTCCTAGAATAAATATCAAAATTGAAAATTAAATATAATAATATCTCTTTAATATTGTATTACTAGCTACTCTTCGCTCTATGTTTCATGTACTCTTAATTAATGCAATTGGGGCATATTCATAAATAAGCCCTGGCAAGTATTCTTTTTATTCTCCAACTCTAATTTCTTTTCCTAATTGCATTATTTTCTTAACAGTTCTAATTATCAAATTAGTCCTTTTCCTCAACTTCCATTCAGCCTCCAACTCATGTTCGTGATTCCCTTAAATTGGTGCCTTTATCTAATATTTATTTCCTTGGTCCTCCCTCTTTATTACAATTATTTTGGAGCCCTGATATGATTCCACATATTTTTTTGGTGTGATATTAGTACCATCTAAACTATATAAATATGCATTTAATCCACAATGGCATTGGATACTTGTACAGATATCAAATATTTCACTGCTTAAATTGGTGAAACTGTGTTTAAAATAAATTGGATGGCCAATTAAATATGACATTACATCAGCATCTGAAGAGAAGAAAAGTAAAAAACCATCTCATCTCTAATGTCTTAAACTTTTGAGGTGATTCAACAAGATATCGAGTACGCAAAAGTCATAAGTTTAAGTATCATGTATCGCCACCTATTTATGAAAATAACGAACTCATCAAATTTTTTAAAAAAAAATGCGGTCTACACTCGAGACATCTTATTGAAGAAATTTTTTAAATAAATGAACTCCTCCAGAAGTTGTTACATCTAAAGTCATTTTCATAATACATATACTTGAGGTCTCTCTTCATTTTCTCCTCCCTGTTCTTGCACCTGATAAGAATTAGATCCCAAGGAACAACCATGAAAAGAGGTGAAAGTTATGGTGGTGGCCAGAGTTCCTTAGGCTACCTGTTTGGTTCTGATGATAAGCAAAAAAGCATTGCACCACTGGCATCACCTACTGCTTGTACACCGCCTTATGGAATCGATATCGAAGAAAAGCCACCAGAAAGTCCTCCTCCTCAAGAACGAAAAAGAGATTCCAACAACTACAAAAGGATCCAGGGTCAGAATTCAGGAAATTACATCGCTGTGAGTTAATTATTTATGCATACATGAAGCTTATAATTCTTTCTCGTTGAACCCTTGTTGTCCCCTTCGGGCAATCATAATTGGTAAGCAAATTGTTTGATTTGGAGAGAGAAAGATCGTACTGATCGCCAATCCTTGAGTTTTTATACTCCATGGAATCCGATCTACCAAGTGAGATTTAAATAAAGCGATCTCTCTTCTTTAGGCTAAAAAGCTTAAAGAATAAAATGGGGTACTCCGAGCCAATAGAAATTTAATCAAACTTTTTTCTTCTTAAATATTTCCATATTGTCTGTGAGATGGCGAAATTCCATATTTTTTTATGATTATTTCCATAATAGTATGATCTTGAATTAACCCGGATCATTTTGTGCTAGGGCCGTCCAACCACTAAAGTTAAGTCGGTACCAGGTGGAGATTCGTCGCTCGGTTACCTGTTTGGAGATAAGTCGTGAGATTTTGTACGACCATGGTCTACCTCTTCGAATGTTCTTTCGTGGTTGTGTCTGATTTCTGCTACATGTAGAAAGGGTGTGAAATATTGGTGCTGTTTGAAACTAGGTTAGGGTTTGTAGGGTTTGCTCTGCGTGTGATAATTACTGCCTAAATATTACTTTCTGAAGTTTCAACTACCAGATTGGTTATGAAATAACAAGTCTCTTTTATTTTTATTTCTTTTCATTGTTTAGGATTTTCTCTACCACAGTTTGCCCCTTTGGCAAGACTTGGAACTGTAAAATAAGCCTAATGACAAGGCAGCTACTTCGATGTGGTGTGTGATTTGTTTATTTTCATGTAAAAAATTCTGCTTTCGTGTTTCTTTGCGTAGACACATACACATTCACAAACCTCAGTATATTGGAAACTAGAAATAAAAACTTACATATAAAAAGAGAGGATGGGAGGGGGAGAAAAATGGCTTAAAATTATGTTTAAATCTTGGGAATTTCTACACTTCTATTGATGTTTTCTCCTTCATTTGGTGATCTTTTATGAAACGGATTTTCGTGCTGTATACTTCATCCACTTCTCCTTTCTGGTTAATTTAAGAGATGTTCAATGCTATTCTCAACTACATATTAGATATTATACAATGCTAAAATCCAGCTGCGTGCACATAATAGTTATCAACTATTTGAACTTTAAAATTGTGAATGCGTGAAAGGACGAGAAAAACCCAAACATTAATCAAGATTCAAAAACCAATTAACAAAGCAGTAAGTAAAGTGCAGAAAATAGAAAAATTAACACAATGATTTTTTGGCCTAAGCCCCAAAGGTTTGGCGACCACATGTAACGCCTAATCCCTTGTTGTGAATTCATTATAAATGGATTTAGCTCGGTTGCACTATAAAGCCAAAATGGCAACAAGAATATACAATATGTTCCAAAAATCACAAAGATCAAACCATTGATATATATATATATATATATATATAAAGTCAACGATGTCAAAGTAAAAAAAAAAATTAAAAACAAAAAAAAAA